TTCCCTTGATATGGCAGGCTGCCCAAATAAACGCTACCAAGTGTTTGACGTGGCTTTCGGGATCTGGTCCGCTGAAAGCATATACCGAATACATGACTACGTCTAAAGATGATCGTGCTATCTCCTTGAAGCGCATGAAAGATTTTGAGCAGCGATTGCCAATTCTCCTCGGCGCCACACCGACTCGACTAGGGGAGCATGTAGTATTTGCGCATCTCCATGGTGGAGCAGCCAAGAAAGAAACATTGATGCACCTATTTGACATATTCGTCAGAGACACGACCGTTTTCATTCATAAAAAGTTGGAGGGCATCGAGGTGACCCCTCTCCTTTATATATGCGGACAAAATCTCAGCAAGGACATCTTCGATTTCTTCTTCGAGCGTGGAGCCGACGTCCTCAGCTCAACTTCCGACAGGTATGCCAATTGATATCAAGTTTCAAATACTAACTTCTATTCAGGTGTAACATCTTGCATGTAATGACTCAAAGAGGATGCCTCGACCTCATGAAACATGTATTCGCGAGACTCAGCCAAGACCAATTATCTATCCTGCTTTCACAGACCACCCGTCGCAAGTCGAACACGGTATGTTTTTATACAAATAGTTTGAAAATTTCTGACCATTTGTTAGCCACTCATGATTGCAATCAAAGCCGGAAACCTTGGAGTCGTTGAATTCCTGCTATCCTTCCATCATCCCGTCACTGATGCATCTCTTCTGGTTCGAGATGCGAACGGCTCTTTACCCATCCACGAGGCAACAAGTAAGGGATACCACAAAATCGTCGAGCTTCTAGTACGGTCCAAGTCAGCTCAGGCGATGAAGGCTCTTTGTACAGAAAACGGTATAGGGTCCACCCCGTTAGAAATTGCAGCCTTCAAGCATCTTCTTGGCTTCGACAGAGAACTACAAAGTCGTTTCGATGGCGCCGCTGCCCTCCCATACACTGTACCATCTCTGGTAGTCACCAATCGTCTCAGTGGACCATGGACGAGCGCTCGTGCTTTGCTCGACAGTTTAAAGCAAATGCTTGACCAACTGCCCCAAATCAACCGGATAACTATCGAGGAGTACCAGGCATTAGAAAATATCGTGGTTTCTCTGGATGAAGAAGGGCGCTTCACCAATTCGCCAATTTTGCAACGAGTCCTGAGAGAATATGTCGAACGAGCCGCGAGTGCTTTAGAGGACCATAACGGAAATTCTGCCCAGAAAGCGCTAGTTGACGAAGAACTAAAGGCCGTATACTCTTCAGCCGAATCCAACCCTTCCGTGGGCTACGCAGGGCCAAAAATGCCGTTTGTACAAAATGTAGTAGCCAGTCAAGATATCAAGGCTACATACGAAATGATCAGGAACGCTATTGAATCCTCCGGATTGAAAAGACGGCGGGTCCTTGTCCATCTACTCGATGCTCAAAAAGCTGTTAATTCTGCCATGGCTGTCGCCACCCAGGCTGGCCACTTCGGGTTTGGACAGGCCCCGGGCTATTTCGGTTCATATATGGGCAGCTTGAGCCCGGGGAAAAGTCAGAGCAATGCATTCAATTACATGTTGAACTATAGTTCCGTGCTATCCGTTGATAATACCTACTATTAGGCTAATAGCCACCGGTAATAATTGTCTTACCAACGGATGTATCACATGGTAGATAGGAGAATACAGATCTTTCTCTCCATATAGTTAAGGTATCGAAAGCCCGGTTCAATTTGAGTACCAACCAACATGTTCAATTTGACTCCATTTATAACCAATTGAATCACACTGTCTTGGAAATTGTGCTCGGCGGCTCGGTTTCCTATACACAGCAAATTATGATAGAGTAAAAGTCTGCTATTCGCATTTTACTCGTAATTCAGGAGATAAGGAGTAGGAGTTGACTTCAGAAGGCCAAATGAGACTTCATAGCATCCGCGTATCTGTCATTTTATGAGTGGTCGGGTCCTTTCATTAGCCATTAGGGGCTTACCTTGATCCAACTACTTTGATATTTTCAAGAACGGTTTCGATTTCTTTGAGGTCTTCCTCAGCTATAATTCAAAGAGCGAGCCGTTAGAATTGGCATCACTTCCAATCAGATGCCACTCACAAAGCTTGACTTGACGCGCCCCAATGTTCTCTTTTAGACTAGGAGAGATTTTGTGAGATGAAACCAAAGACAGTCGATTTAAACGTACTATTTCGTCTTCTTTGTTCCAGGAATAGCGATAAAATCATCTCCTTGGGCCAAAACCCATGCAAGCGCAAGCTGACTGGGAGTGATTCCCTTTTTATCGGCAATGTCCCTAACGAATCATTTAATGAGAATGAATTTCGTGATGATTTGAGGCAAACCACTCACTTGAGTGCATTAACGAGCTTGAGATTCTATGAAACAATAGTGTTAGGCGGGGCCTGGCAAGTTGAATTGAAAAGTCTTTATTACCTCCTTAAAAGCCTCTCCCGTGAAACGCGGATTGGTCCTTCTCCAGTCACCTTCCTCAAAGTCATCGGGACTCTTGTATGCACCGGTCAAAAAGCCTGGGATATTGTTGATGGGGTCAAACATGACGAATAAATGCCTTTACTCACCACGTCCGAGAGGACTATAGGCAACTATAGAGATTCCAAGCTCCCGACATACGTCGAGAATGCCATTATCCCTGATGTCTGGGGTCCAAGGGGAGAACTATGTTTAAACGTTAATCTGTGTATACCTTCAATGCAATGGATCATTACCTCTATTTGGATGGCGCTGACAGGTGCAATAGCATGCGCTTTGCGAATCTCATCGGCAGTAGCCTCTGACAGACCGAGATATTTAACCTTTCCTTCTTCTTGGAGCCTTTTGAACTCTCCCCATGTCTCCTCTATTGGCATATTACGATCCACCTGAGGCATATTTTCGTAAATAAACTGTCTGATCACGTTGTAAGGAGAGACGTTACCCTGTTCAGATAAGCCAAGTCGATATAATCGACCTGTAAATTCCTCAAGCTTTCTTCGCAGTATTTTCTGATTAATTCTGGGTTGCCAGTCATTTGGAGGGATCCATCCTCTGCCCAATATCCACCAATTTTGGTACCGACGAACACTTTCGGGCGAATTGATGGGTCTTTCAGCAGCTGTCCAATTAGTCTTTCATTCTTTCCCTGCACAATATACCTTTTTTAACACAGGAATTTCAGGATAGTCAGGAAAATGCCGCACCTGTGGTGGGCCATAGAACTGGTTAACAAGCCGTTAGAGGTGATGTATTGAGTCAAGTGTCGATAGGAGACCCCACTTACACTAGCAGTGTCGATAAAGGTACATCCCTCGTCGACAGCCTACAAGGCAAGTTGAAATTTTTAGTAGGTGCATGCCTTAATTTGAGGAAATGATCATACCATTTTGAGTACTTCGAGACTTTCTTCATCTGTAACGGTATTGCCGTAAAAGGCACTCAGTCCCTGTGGGGATAGTCGATATTGGTGACGCTGATGAGTGATCCAGAGTCTTAGGGGTTAGATAATTGCGTAGCATACCATTGCTCCAAATCCAAGTGCAGGTACTGGAAAGCCGTTGGCAAATGAAGTCGAATGGGATCAAAAGACATACCTTTGGGACCATTTCTTCCCAATGAGCGATAGATGATATCCGACATTTTGCTCTAGATGGTATTTCACTCGGTCCTATCGGAAAAGTATGCCCACAAATTTGCTTTAGTGACGCTGAATGGAACAGGGAGAAGTGATGGCGAAGGTATTATATTTGCCTCGGTATTGGGCTTTATAAAAATAGTACAAACCTAGGTGTCGGTATTCCGATCCCAGGTATTACAAAGATGAAGCCGCAGTTGACGTCACCCATTTCGCTGAGTAGTGCTTGAGTAACTTGTGAGATGCTTTATAAATGCACACCGAAAGTCAAATTGATCTTGATTTTTCCGATGTGATCGAAGTGTGGAAGGGCGGCAGTTCAAAAAGTGGGGTTGGGAGAGACCACTACTCGGACGTCCGCATACGATTGAGAACTCTCCTAATGTCTCGAGTAGCGACAAATAGCCTGGGGTGTATTGGAAAGGAGTGTATCTATCGAGACCAGGACCCCCGAACTCCACAGGCATCAAGGAAGGCATCTGCTAGATAGGGGTTAGGGATGATTGAATTCAATCGAATCTATTCAATAGACTGACTACCATTCCCCTTCCTCGATACTCTTCATCGGAGCACTTTGGGTCGAGTGATATCGTGACAAACTCTGGATCCCTGTCTAATAGTCGAGGCTATTGGAGATAAATTTCTACTCGTCAATGACGTGTGTTTGATAATATAAGAGAGATGGTGCAGTAGAATTTTATAAATGATTACTTCATACATCTCCTTTGACTGGTTTGGCGGTTATGGGACGTCTTGTACCTTAGTTCCTACTTGGGTGCGGCGTGAACTTCGTCCGAATATAACGATACCACCGGTAGCCGGATATTAGATAAAAGCCCTCCTAAAACCGTAGAAAGATGTTGAAATGGACCCTTGCATCGGAGGAGAAGGCATTGTTAGGCTTCTCGATCCTAGTGTTCAGGCACGACTTCAGGCTGATCCTCAAGTAATCAGCTGAAATAAGGAAATGGTTCTTTATATTCTCGAGCTTATTACTATAACAACGTATCTTTGCATCAGTCTGACTGTGCTCTCCCCTAAAATCCTATCAACTTTGACCCAGCCGCCGGGTATCTATTGGGCTCCGTTAGCTCGCAGAACTGAGGAGTGCATCAAATTTACCTCGACCCCATGACACCGATGCGCTTAACAATCCCTTCAATGGAAGCGAGTTCCTCCGAGGCTGATATTGTAAAGTTGGTCAGCACGGTAGCAAGTCTTAGGGCAATGTACTTACAAAGATTGACATTTCGAGATCCGACATTCTCCTTCAGACTAGATGCTATAGGTCAACACATTATCAATAGGATAGAGATGGGTTGGACGTACTACTTGATCTTCTTCGTTCCGGGAATGGCAATAAAGTCGTCTCCTTGAGCTAGTACCCACGCCAATGCTAGTTGCCCTGGGGTTATATTCTTCCTATCTGCGATCTCCCTGTATAATAGAACTCGGTTAGCACCATCTTATGGGTAGGTGTAGTTTCATCACGGACTTGAGTGCATCGACAAGTTTGAGATTCTGTGGACATCAATTAATCTTGGTAGATAATACTATCGAATAAGCTATCAAACCT